ATCAGGTTTGTGCAGTGTCCTATGACATTTATGTATCAAGTTTTATTGAAATGTGATGATTAGTACTTGAGATATCAGTGGAAAAGCCGAAAATTGATTAATCATTATGCAAATTAGGTAATTAATATTGCACAGATTTTTACCCAAAACTAATCAAATCTGCGCATTAGTTTGGAGCATTTGTGTGCCAAGTTTCATCAAAATCCAATGAGTGGTTCTTTAGATATCAGTGGAACAGTCATGAAACAGCTAAAAATCAGCTAATTATCATGCAAATTAGGTAATTAATATGCATGTATTTTTACCAAAACCTAATCAAATCTTGCGCATTGGCCCACAGCATCTATGCACCGAGTTTCATCAAAAAATGATGTATGGTTCTTGAGATATCAGTGGAACAGACGGACGGACACACACACACACACACACCCACGCACACACACCCATACACACACATACACATACAGACACACTAACTGCAAAGACTCCCTTTTTGTGCTTCGCACACAGGAGTCAAAAATGTAATTAGTGTACATATGTTTATATCTATCAAGTGGAAGATATATGAAATTTATTATTCATATATCGTTGGTCAAACATAATCAGATCAGGTTTTAGTGAATTAAAGTTAAAGTATCATAGATGTATGAATATTTTGACATTTTGGGACTACATGTACTTTATTTCAAGTGTATTCTGAACACATACTTGTGTAATGGCATTATGTCACCTGATCACCTAAGTATGTAAAAAGTATAGTCCCGTTGCTGTACCTCAAAGTAAACAATTAAGAAATTGTGAAAGCTCTCTAGTTTCTTTGATGCTTCTGAATCAACACATCAAACATTAAATATAGTTGTAACTAACCTTGTTGAAACTGCTCCAAAACCATTTGCAGATTGTTCAAAGATGCCGCATATTGCTGCGTTTGTTCTTGTGCTGCAGCTAGCTGCATGACAGCCTGATCTCTCTGTGAAGCAATGGCATGAAGTTCTTCTTGCAGACTTTCAACTTGTTTGCTGACTTCCTGACTGCATTTAAAACACAAGTTACAGCAGAGACTAAATTACAACTTAACTACAAAATGTTATTCCATAAGCTATTTATTTAATGTGGTGTTAACAAGTTGAATTCAAATGATGCGAAATAGTTGGCATGATAGTTATGATAAGTACAATGTATGTCTGACCTTGCACTCTGCACAGCACTTGAATATACTTTATCTTCAGCTTCAGCTAATTTAGTTCGAAGTTCTTTCTCTCGGTCTTCAGCCAGAAGTGCTTCTTTGGTGTAGCTTTCTTCAATTTGTAACAAATGCTGCCTTAGTCTATCCAACTCTTTCCTTGCCCTCTGTTCCTTTTCTTGAACAGAAATTAGCTATAAAAACAAAAAAAGTTTAATCTCTGGAATTTAGTATAATATTTTAAACACTTTTGAAACTTAAGTTAATTAGTGCTACATGTGGTTTATATAACTGCAGTAATGACGTACAAATATAATTTATTATCCAAATAAATATAAAATGAAATGAACAACTAAATAGAACTGAACCAGGCGGTCTATAGTAGATCTATCAAACAAGTTAACATACTAACAGCTGTACAATTTGTACTTTGTTATTGACAGCTTTCAGCACTGTGGCTGTTAATATGTTGCATTAATTGAACTGCATCAATTGCAGTGCACACAAGATAAATGAAAAAGACAAATTGAAAAATCTACCGGTAGATCTCAAACTAAACAGAGTGCATACTAATTCGGGGAAATTCATTGCTGTCATTGCCGTTCCAGCAAAATATGGGCTGACAGTATGTGATATACATTAGCCAAACTTCTGTAAACATTTGTATTGTTGACATTGAAGTTATTTATTGTCTTCACTACAATTCTGCTACAGATGTGTGCTAAAACAACTACCAGGTAACCTAGGAAGTACGCAATGCTCCAAGTTCGCTCATGTGCAGTGGTAACATCAGTAGAATAGTCAATCTGTATATTCAAATCGGGGAATCTGTGTCTATATGAAAAAAGTTTCACATCAAATATTGATTTAAATGTACTCCATCTTTGCAAGAGAGATCCCCCCCAAAATGTGCGATTTGGTGACTTGATGACACCCTAAGATGGACTTAATCAGCAAATCAATCACCATATCAAAACTGCTTGGTGATTTTCGGGTTTTAACAACGCAGATAGATATCTTATGTATACTGTAGCTGCCACATTTATTACTGAACACATGTTTGATATATCAAAGGCTTCAGACAAAATTTTACCAACAATACAACTTCAACCTTTTCACCACCAGAATTTCTCGCCCAAATAGTTCTGCTCTTTTTTATATTCTTAACTAATTTTGGAAATGAACTCTAATTTTGGAGTCAACAGACAATTTTAGTCCAAATCTTCTAAAAGAAAGTGCAGACTATAAACAGGATCATTTTTGAATTCGTGATGAAAAGAGGGAACTGGTGGTGTAATGGTTAAGACAGTGAAGGCAAGGGCTTACCTCTTGTTGAATTACACTAAAATTAGATTGCTGTTGATTATACGCCATGATAGCGTGATCTCTTTCCTGCTGGAACATTAAAGCTTGTTGCTGCATGACCTCAGATTCATGTCGGACAGTCTGTATTTCACCTAGACTTCCTTGCTCCCTTTCTTGCACTAATCTAGTCAATGTCTGTGATTTTTCTCGCAAAGCACCAATTTCAAAATCCTTCTCTTGTAAAACAGAAGACATTCTGCTGATGGTTTCTTGTAGTTTTTGTGTTTCCAACAATCTTTGATTTTCAAATTTGCCTTGGTTTGTCCTTTCTTGTTTAAGTGTATTTATTTCTTCATTGTATGCCTTTAACCTGTGAGATAAAGTCTCCGTTTGATGCAACAATGTTGTATATTCTCCCTCTTTGACTCTTAACTGCTCTGTACATTGCCTCAATTCATCTATTTTATTTCTTAAAAGATTGTCTTTTTCTTGAAGCTGTTTATTTTGAATGTCTACTTGGTGTCTAAATTTGGTTATTTCCTGATGGTTTTGCCTGACAGTTTGTTCCACATTTATTTTGTCAGCCTCCACTTGAGCAATCTGTTCTTTCAAAACATGTATTTCGTCATTTTGAAATTTAATCTTCTGATCCTGCTCTTGGATTTTTTTATTTTGCAAATCACATTTCTGTTTCAAAGAACAAAGTTCATCACTTCTCGTCCTTATCAATTCTTCTTTCCCTGCTAACTCATCAGTTTTTGTTGTTATTGTTCTAACATTTTCTTGTAAGTTTTTAGTATTTTGTGCTATAGTTTGTTTCAATGAAACATTTTCTTGTGTAAATTTCTTGACAAGTTCATCTTTATCTAGCATGTTTTTAGCTTGATATGTTAATTGTTTTTTAAGTGACACAAGTTCAGTTTCCTTGGCTTCTAGCAATCTACTTTCCACCTCTGAGGGCCCTGATGATGCACCCTGCAAAGATTCACGCTCCACATTTAATGCAGCATCAACCTGCATCTTAAGTCTTTCATTTTCATTTTGTAGATGTGCAATCTCAGTCTCTTTTTCTTTGTTCAGAAGTTGTAAATGTTCTACAGAAGACTGTTCAAGTTCTGCGTTATTCACTTTGCTGAGCAGTTCCTCCCTGGTCAGTTCCAATTGGGCTAAATCATTCTGCATGTGCAGTAGTTTTGTTTTGACCTCCTCAAGGCTATGTTCCTTATCGTTCATGGACTGCAACAGGTTGTCATACTTATCCTGTAACTCTTGCTGCCTTAGTTGTCCATCCTGATACTCATTACTCAGTTGCTCATACTGATCATGTAAATTTTTATACTTGTCTTCCAAAACCTTTACGTTATCCCCATCTATCTCATCTTGCTCTTTCTCCTCAACCTGTTGTTGTTTTTGAGTTGCAATGACTTCCATCAATCGTTGAACTTCTTCATAATATCCCACACTCTCTTGATGTTTCTGGGTAAGACTAACTATCAACTGTTCTCTATCACTCTGCAAAGTGGAATTCTGTTTTTGCAGTTGTGAGTTGGTGTGAAGAAGTTTATCTATCTCAGCAGTGTCACCCGGTTGCATTTGTTGCAACACCATCTGCAGTGACTCCATTTTTTGTGTCATGGCTTCAAGTTCTAAATCTTTGTCCTGTACAATTCTTGCTAGGTTTTGAAGAGCTTCCTTGTGCATATCGTTATTGGGACCTTCTAGACTTTTATTCAGCACAGCATTGTCTTGTTGCAGTTTTTGCAGAGCGATGCGTCCTTCAGAAGCAACTTTCATCAAGCGATGAACTTCATTTTTCAAATTACTGCATTCTCTTGTTTTCTCATTCAACACAGACATCATTTGGTTTCTTTCATCTTCAAGTTTATTCACCTTGACTTCCAGTCTTGAAATATCATACTCACTTTCCACAGATTCACCATCAGAATAGGCTCTGTTATCTTCCAACAACTTAGATAAGGCAATGTTATCTTCTTTCAACATTTTAATCTCATTTAACTTTTCTTGGATTGCCTCTTCATACCTCTGCTTGATTTGTGGGCCGTCATTGACCAGAGAACCGATATGTGGCTTACTATGATGATGCTTAGACTCCTCAATACCATTTTCTTCTGAATTCTGAATTTCACCATTTTCGCAAGATTTCTCATTCAATGCTGTAATCATATTTTCTTGCTGAGCTAACTTGTTGTTACAGTCTTGTATCTGATGTGTTTGCTGCCTATTCTTTTCACTGATTTTTTCAAAGTCAATGTCTTGTTCAGAAATTCTTTTCTTGAGATCAGTAATCAATTCTTCCTTGGTTTGAATGTCTTTTTTTGTCTTTTTTACTTCCATTTTCAGTTTACCGATCTCAGATTCTAAATTGGTTATGATTTGTAAAGTTTTGGTTTCAGGGGATTCTTTTTCTTTCATCTCATTGAATTCTACTTCCAGCTTGGAATGTTTTTCTTTCAGCTGATGCAATTCCTCTTCAGTGGCTTTCAATTTGTCAACCTGTTGTTGTAGTGCTTTCATCTGTTTTACCTCACTATCCAGCATAGAATGTTTTTCCTTCATCTGGTGTAACTCCTCCTCAACAGCTTTCAACCTAACAATTTCTTGCTCAAGTTCACTCATCTGTTTCAAATCAATCTCTAGCTCAGAATATTTTTCTTTTAACTGCAGTAATTCTTCCTGGGCGGCTGACAACTTGACAATTTCTTGTTCAAGAAGATGTATTTTTTGTTTTCCATCTTCCAATTTACCTTGATAGAATGAATTTTCCCCAGCGAGTAACTTAATGTCATTTTCTTTATCCTTCAACATTTCAGTCATCTGCTGTTGATTCTCCAATGTTTTTGTCAGAATCTCTTTAGTTTCCTTTGCATCATACTCCAGCTCAGCACACCTTGTTTTCAGCTCTGTCAACTCGCTGTCATCGGTTGATGACTCTTCCTCGTCCTCCAGTTCATTTTTAATATCATTCTGTGAGGTATCATTTGCAGTATTTGAGGAGTCATCTTCACTTTTCAGTTGATTTCCTTTTATCTCAGCTTTCTGCAGTGCAGCCTTATCTCTTGCTTCCTGTTCTTCCTGTGATCGAAGTTCATTTATCATGGACTCGTATTCCGCAGCTTGTTTCAGCAGTCGGCCATTACTAAGCTGTAACTCAGCTGTTAGAAAATCATTCTCTTTCTGACATTTGACCATCTGTTGTTGCATTTCTTCTACAGTTTCTTCTGTATCTTTAATTTGTTGTGTGAACTGTTCAATGATGTTTTGTTCTCGTTCCTTCATCCTCTCTGTTTCATGTACCAAATGCATAGCTCTTGTCTCCATGGCTTCCAGCTGATCATTAAGATCATTCAGCTGTTCATCCTTGTCATCATTTGCCGCTGAACTGTCCTCCAGATTTTTACGTAGTTCCAAGAACTGGGCAGTAAACTTATCCTTCGTCTTATTATGTGAACTTATTTCTTTCTTTGCGGCTGCCAATTCTTCTTTCAGTGATGTAATTTCATGCTGGGGAGCTTCCAATTTCCCGATATTTTCAAGTTCAACTTCTAATCTCATTAACTTATCTTGCAACACTGTTTTCTCTTCACTTAATTCACACACCGCTAGTGTCTCAGTACTCAACTTCTCATTTAATAAATCCAACTCTTGAGATATTCTATCTTTATCTGTTTCGCTTTCTACCAGACTCTGTTTTATTCCTTCCATATCAGTCATCTTTCCCAACACTTCCTGATAGTTGCTTTCCAATTCTTTGTATTTCTCTAACAATCTGTTCTTTTCCCCCATAAGGTCATTATAGGACTTTTCATTGATTTCATATTTGGCTGAAGTTTCTCTAAGCTGTGCCTTAATTTCATTCTATGGAAAGACAAAACATTACATTATACTAATATGATTTTGTATTGTAATTTGGGTTTTCTAGCAAGAAATTACAGTAATGATACAGTAAGTTCATAGTAGCTGATTTAAACATGAATATCTGATGATTTCTGTTACTATGTACCAGTGTGCATAACATGTAGATTACAAGTAAATATCACAAACACTTTATTTGGAGAATATCAATGTAAACACAGTAAATATAGATGAGACAATGTATTGCGCTTGTATACACAGTTACACTTTATTATTCTTATAACTTTATTTTCATTATCATAGTAAAGTTAAGTAAAGTTTTAGTGAAATTAGTGAAGTGTTGTCAAGTGATCACTAATACACATATTGAAATAGAACTCCTTATTTGGAAATTCCGCATTCTATAAGATTGGATGTTAATGCATCAGATGTACAATAATATGATAAATACTCACCTTTTCAGATATTAATTCTTGCTTGCAATCTTCATATTCTGCTATTTTTTGTTGAAGCTTTTCCAACTCAATTTGTAAGTCATTCACCAGAGATTGATTAATCTCCTCCATTTTCTGACTTTCCATTTTCTTTAATGCCTATAAAATTAGTAATCATCACTGTTTTACTGCAGTACAACACTGTAGTGACCCATGACGTATGCAAGTCACTAACCATGAGTTAGTTTCATTGTTACATGCAGGGACCAAACCCTACCATAATATCAATAAACAAGTCATTGAAAATGTCCCCGTTAAATTTTTGAAAGTTCTCTTTTTGTGCTCGTCATATTAAAGCGGAGGGGTTGTTGCGAGTGTGTCCTTGAAACTTGAGTTCCAAGTGGCGTATACAACAGATTGTATATTTACATCAAAACACGTGTTCCGTGTAGTACTAATATTGCCAAAAATAAAAACAACCGTTATTCGGCCATCTTTGATCTGATTATGAAACACACTGATATGTAAAATGGTACATAAATTGTGGAAATATAGTAGTAAGGCCAAAAAGTCAGATGGCTGTCAATCAGCCATCCTTGACCAGATTTTGAAACAAATTGTCATGGACATGCATCCTAACATGTATAAAGTACATGTACATGTATGTGCCAAATTTGAATGAAAACTGACAGAGCACGTCCAAGATACCGCATAAAAAAAAACAAGAGGATCAAAATAAATCGTCATGGACATGTATTCTAACATGTATAATCTATGTACCAAGTTTTTATAAGAAGTAAATAATAATCAAGGGAGAATCATACCAGGTAATTCGAAATACATGTACAACAAGTACTATACAAGAAATTAGGACAATTCTCACCTTCTTAGCTGTCATATTTTGAATAATCCTTTCCTTGTCCTTGAGTTGAGTTCTCAGTTTGACAACCACTTCCTCAAGTGCTTGTTTTTCCATCTCAAAGTCAGCTTTGATTATTTCAAAATGTTCTAGCTGTGATTTAATAGCTTCAGCAGCATGCGGGTGTTTCATCTTCATTTCAGAAAATATTGCAGAGTCATCAAACTCCCCATCAAAACTAGCCACACTTGAACTATCAATATATCCTGTACTATGCATAGTTTTTTCATCTGAACTGGAGAGTTCAGAATCTCCATATCCCTGAGTACTATTACTAGCCGGTGGGAAGTATTGATTTATTCCTTGATTTGTTTCTATATATGAATCATCAGTTTGTGTACTACTGTTTTCCAAATCAGCAGCTTTTGCCATACTTTCTGTTTCACTGTCAGCAGAATATTCCAGAGTTCTATCAGATAATTCAGATGATGCCCTACTTTCTAATTGTTTATTCAACATAGATATTGCATCTTCCAGAGTTTTTTTCTCATCCAGGTATACAGCATTAGAATTTTCCAGCTCTTCTATAAAAGACTCTAACTTTTTAATTTGCACTTTCAGGAGTTCATTCTCATCTTCCAAGGACTTCATGATTTCACCGGTAATTTCCTGGTGTTCACTACTGCCGATGTTGGTTACAATATCAACTGTTTGGTCCCTGACTTGTGCATTGGCAGCTTCCAGTGATGCAACAGCAGTTTTATTTCCAGAAACCTGCATGGAAACAAATAAGAATTTACATGGCTGGCTTTAAAGACCATGATGAGGGATGGGGCACACTACTTTGAAGATGGACATGTCAACACACTAGAAGATCAAACAGATATTGAGTTAAACATACCTGTTCTCCTAAATCTATCAACTTGTTAACAAGCTCTTGTTTTTCTTTCAGAAGTTTGGCTCCATGCTGTCTAACCCCTGAAGCAAACTTCTTGCGTGCTTCTTTAATATCTTGTCTCATTTCACTAGCACTGGCCTGTTAAATGTGGGAATTCAAAGGTAGCCAATTTTGATAAATTAATTTAGCATTTGTGAGATGTTTTCTTGAGTCATGCCAAGCAAAGATAAGTTCCCATGAACCAAACTGTTGGAGAGGGGGATAAGTTTAAATACTAAAAATTGGGATGCAATGATTTGTCTACTATGTCCATATTCAAAGTAAGATACAATATTATAAAAGAAACTAAAACCAACACATAATGTAATACAACTACCATACTTTCAGCCCATTTGGAAGTAACCACAAGCCCTCTTGATAGAACGACATGAGAAGTTTATGCTTATTTTCATGTCATGTAGAGACAGCCAGATAAAAGATATATCTACACATCTTGTATCAAGAGAACTCACAATAAACATGCAGCATGCACAAGGCAATGAGAGGAAAGAGAGTTTGGAGAATGGAAAACAAGTATAATGAATGAATACATATATAGCAAGCATTGTCACTTGGAAAGTTCACCATTACAGTCAGGCATTAAGGGGTATAATCTACAGTACCAGTATTATTTAGTTTAGTTAGCCTCAATCATTTTGAATTCAAATTTTGGAAGAGGCATGAATACCAAAAGAAACTAGTCAATTTCTAATTAAAACAAAAAGATGCATGTATTTTCCAGAAGTCAAAAATTACATACCGGTAAGTACCAGATGCACTGCCAATAATTGAAAATAGAATTTGTTTTATTGGTTACCGGTACATGCATCATCAGTGTAGGAAATTTGTCCAGATTACATACCAGACATCAGGGCTGGTAACTTTCAAAAGTTACAAGCCCTGCTAAAATGTTACCAGTCCCGCACATTTTTTTCAATTATTTTCGCACACACACACAAATAAACACAAGTTGTATACAATATACTATGCCCGGTTTATTTTAACAACAAAGTAGCTGTAGAGAACATGTATTCAGTCTTCAGAACATGATATATCAGATGTCTGTGTCACTGTTGCTCTCGGCTAGATCAGAAAAATCTGAACCTTAGTCAGAATTTAATCCAGCTACCAAATGAGCATTACCATCTGTTACAGCCTCGGAATAGCTTGTCTAACCTGTCAACACTTTTACCATTCAACATTTCGATGATTCTATCAGCAGGAAGTTGCTTTGGTGGTGGGGCATTCTTTGCTTCGAATATCGATTTGGCTTGTTTATGACCAATTGACATTTCATGGCATGCAAGGGCATCATGTTTTAAGTTGGTACATCCCTTTCCGTACTTACGGAGTTTGTCTGGTATTTTGCGGTTTGATAACGGCCCGTAAATAGCCCGGCAGATACACCGTATGATTACCGGTGTCATCGGTGACCAGCCATTCTTTGAACACCGTCTTCCAGCTTGGAACTATTTTGCGAGTACGTTTTGACTGGTCATACTCCTTATTTGCCGCCATTCTATCGATGCTCGACTTCTGTTTCTTTGTTGGAGGGTCTATCCCCAAAAAACGATACATGTTGTACGCAAAATGAAAACTACGCAACGATAGAACTGGTCAGGGGTCACCGGAAGTCTCACTGCACCATGGGAGATAGGACCTGACCCGAGGTCACGTACCTATTATTATGTTAATAAGTCAATGGATTCCGTGTTGTGGGTTGAGAATGCGTGTCGGCAAGTCGCGATGTGAGACGGCAATGCAATATTTTCATAGTTTTGGCTGATCATGTTTCTGTTTAAAATGTTTAGAGCACACATAAAGAATGGTAGCTTGTTTTTATTTTAATTTCGGCGGAAGAATGTGGTAACATGTTACCCGACCATCGGACAGGGAAGTTTGAAATTCAACCAGTCCGATACGAAAGTTACCCGTCTCGGGCGTGCGGACGGGCAGGAATTTCC